GCCATATATGTGTGTAAGTATATAGAATAATAGGAAAGAACCGTGCTCGATACAACAGTAGAGACAATAATATAATATGTATAATATAGGCTCTACTGTTGTATTGAGCACTGTTTTTGAAAAATAAAAACAAAAATACTAAAGAACTTTTGATTATTAACCTAACTGTTCTTTCCTATTTTTTTTATATTTGCATACACACACGTTCTTCTTATCCTCTTCTGTTCCTCTTTTTATACTTTCCTCAACCCATAACTATACCCACTTTTTACCTTACGCCCTCTGTAGCCACTTGCGTACTAGTGACATTCCAGCTTTGCTTGGGGTAATATATATATATATATATATATATATATATATATATATATGAAGTAGGCGTTGTTTAGAATTTTGCATCATATGCAGGTCAGAAATAAAGTTTATATACATTACATACTTATGTCGATGTGCAGAAACACTAATGATTCTCGTCAATTTTTCGATACGTATTTTCCATCAGATACCGTCCTTATTTTGTATGCTGTCTAGATTCCTTATATTTAATTTCATGACACCCGTCTCTGAAGATTGCCTCCTTTTTTCAGTCAAACCTACCATGAGAGACCTTGACACTATAAAAAAAAAACCTTAAAATAAATCTTGCACATTTGCACATGAGCGAAGTTTTATTTATTACAAAAGACATTGATGTCTCTCTTGCACTCACGTTAAAACAACAAATATCTTTTTCCCGCATTACAGTTTTCTTTTTTGTTGCAGAGAAAAAGCTATTTTTCTTCATGTAGAAAATACGCGTGAATTAAAAAAAAAATAAATTTACATTTCCTTTCAAAATCTATACTCAGATCGGCTTATAGTATTACTCTCAAATATTAAATCTTAATTATAATGTATTTTCGCTAGTTTGTGCGGTCAGTTGGCAAATGGATACGTTGCCAAAAGATATTGACAGAGATTTATTAAACTTCATTTAGAAATTTCTAAACAGAAACAGCATGCTCGCTTTGAAATCCAAAATTTCTCCTCGGATTTTATTTCAGCAATTCTCCTGCTGAAAACGAGATGTATACATCGACCTTGGACACTAAGTAGGACCATATATGGAAATATTTATCTCACAAAGCTTATCCTCTGTAAATGTTTTCTAAGCTTATTTTTCAGCGACTGAGGAAAATTATAAAAAACTTTAGATTTGCTTACTGCTACAATAATTATATTAAATCAATAATAGATATCTAACCAGAGATCATAAGTAGATAAGAATAAGATATTAAATCAATTCTAGGCATATTAATTGTTGTGTTAATTGCATTATTCCTTCATTGTTATCTTTCTGTTTGCCTTGTGGATATCTATGAGAATAGGCATTAAACACTCACGATTTTCTTCTGACGAGTTCAGTTGTTCAATTCTTCCGTCAATATTTTAATATGTCAGTTTGAGCTCTCTCAGAGAAGTCATGTATAAATGGTACTGTGCAATGATGCATAAAAGTAAACTATTTCTTGTCCGTCTTTAGACAAGATAGATGATTCTTCTTCTTCTTCTTCTTCTTCTTCTTCTTCTTCTTCTTCTTCTTCTTATATATATATATATATATATATATATATATATATATATATATATATATATATACCAAGTATAACAGCAAAAGTGTCCAAATCGTGTAACAGCATAATTATCCATCCCATAAAATGTTTAATATGTTAAAACCACTAAACTAATTCAGTTTCTTTTTTCCGGGTTTTCAGATAAGACATTTACCACTCTTAACACAAATTGTCGTAAGAATCATTGAAAAACTTATTATTCAGCTAAAATAAAGCAGTTTAAAATCGTTTTGTGTCAGACCCCCCACTTCCCAACTGAGCAATGTTAAGACGAAAAAATCAATCAGGCCTTCAGTAATGATACCAACATTCATACACTGGATTCTATCTTCAAAGTCCATTCAAGAACCATCAAGAGAACGGTGAATAAGTTTTTAAAAAGTAAAAGGAAAACTGGATCGGGGGGTCATAACAGGAAGAGGGATCGTCATTGCAACTGAGAGCTAAAGAGATGAATTAGAAAAAGATCCAACTCAGTCCATAGGACGTTTGGCACGTGAAAAAGAAGTTTCAGCTATGACTGTCCAAAGAGCAGTGAAAAAAGCCTTGAAATTGTACGTGAAACCTGTTAATCCAGGAGAGAAAGTTAGAAAATTAGAGAAAGCGAAGATCATCTTGAGTAAGTTTGAAAATGATCCTGGAATAATATATATATATATATATATTTGAACTTTTTCTATGAGCTTCCGATCCTTAGCTATGATTAATTAATTATGAACATGTTATTTTCGTTTATGATTGAAATCGTCACGTTAAGCTTTTGTGTGTGTGTGTGCGTGTGCGTGTGCGTGTGTGTGTGTGTGTGTGTGTATGTGCACAAAAGGCATTATCAATAAATACAAAAAGAAAAGTTATCTTAGTCGACGCATCATCCTCTGAGGGACGTTATCAAGGCAAGTATTTGCCACGATAAAGTCCCTCAAATGCATCGACGAAATGCATCGACGAAGATAACTTTTCCTTTTGTCTTTATTCTCTCTCTCTCTCTCCTCTCTCTCTCTCTCACATACACACACACATATATATATATATATATATATATATATATATATATATATATATATATATATGCGTGTGTGTCGTTCTTACCTACTTATGTTCACATTTATCTCTAGTTAGATGACTATTATCGACATGAAAATTTATAGAAAGTAAAAGTAAAACATTTTAAACAGAAAATGACATTGATGTCTTGAAATGATGTTCTTTGTTCTTTAAAATTCTTTTAAGGTTCTAAGTTAAAAACTTTTTTTTTTCATTAAAACGTAATGAACTTTTAATTTCTTTCGTAATTCTTGCAAATAAGTACTGATGGGTCATTTCAAATAAGCACTGATGGGTCATTTCAAATAAGCACTGATGGGTCATTTCAAATAAGTACTGATGGGTCATTTCAAATAAGCACTGATGGGTCATTTCAAATAAGCACTGATGGGTCATTTCAAATAAGTATTGATGGGTCATTTCAAATAAACGAACTTTCTTAACTTTCGGTCAGTTCATGCCAAATAAACTGAAACATTAAAAAATAAATTCTTAATTCCTCCCTTCAACTTAATATCAGCGTCTATGTACCCGGAATTCACCACCGAGAAACAATATAAGAATAAAGAGGAGAAAATGATTCACAAGAAGTTCTGTGTATGTCATACCTGTCAAGATAAACTGGAGTCTCCCTACGAATTCCAATACAGCCCACACAACTACAGAGCAACCACAAGCTTGAATAGCACTCTATGGACAGGCTGGATCCAAACTCTCATACGAATCAAATATCTTCATGAAAGAGCTGGAAATATGACCTATCTGGCCAAGCGATACAGTTTCACACACCCATAGTTCAATGAGCAATGTCAGCGGATTCATATGAGGTACAGTTGACGATGTCGGGCTGTATATAATATTATCTTTGGCTGACGACTATAGAACGTGGTGTACGCTGTATTAACTAAATAAGTTGAGCGGCTTGAATGTTGAATTAGAATCTGATTCAATCCAATGTTTCTTTTTCTTGGTTGGCTGTCATCATTGTCGAATTCTTTCATCAACTAAACTGTGGGCGCCTGCGGTTTTCGCAGGCTGCTGATATCTATCCAGAATTCACACATTCCTGGTATACACTTGCCACTGTTTCCGAGAAAAACCTAGAGCAATTGATAGTGCCTCACCTTTCACTCCCTAACAATAATTCCACAGCTGAATAATGTCTAATAACAAGACAAGAAATAAAATTTGTCTTGGTCGTATGGTTACTACATATACACTGTCACATCTACACTACCACTTTACATATTACGTTACACAAATGCCATCTGGATAATTAAGGCGGAGCCAAACATGTGTACTGCTCTAATGTTTTAGAATTTTATACATAAAGAGCAGAGAAGGAAAGACAGGTAACAAATATACATAACCAGACTCGCATATAGATAAAAGTCAACATATAAAAGTTCTAAGACCTTATCTTACAACCGACTGTAAGTTTCGTGTATATACTGACTATCAGGAGCAAATACACCTATGATGTTATGTATTTTATTACGCGTTATCGATTGTCATTTTCTTATTTCTGTAAACGTTATTTTCGTGGATATGTGTTTGAGTATTGCATCCCTTTTTATTTACAAACAGGTAAAAAACGTCTGCCGAGAGGTATATTTTCTGTAATAAGAAAAATAAATAAGAATGCCTCTTCAAACTCATATAAAATAAAAATAAATATATTGTTGAACTGAAAAAAAATAGATGTATTAATTTCTAATATGTTTTTTCTTTTCATTTTTCTAAATAAAACATTTCTGCGCGGACTCTGGTAAGAACATTTCCGCTAAGAAATAAATTGTGAAATTTTGAAATAAAAGAAAAATCGAACTCAGTTAAATTTAAAATAATCAAAACATTTACATTTTCATCTGTATTAAGATTCTATTTGTTCACTAACAAAAAGAAAAACTTTATTTGCCCCCAGAACAGTCCAAAATAATTTGTTTTTAAATCTATTTTGAAAAACTCACATTTTCCACTGCAGTTATGCTCCCTTTACAGAAAATATTGTAAATAATCAGGAAATGCAATAAATTTTTTTTTTAAAGGAATCGCATTTTCGTCTCTTTAAATGCAAGATAAAAGTCGAAGAGTTTAAAAGTATGGTGTGTGTGAGCACTGAAATGAAGACAGTTCATAGCGCATTGAAAACGGTCGCTGAGAGGCTTCACATTGATGTCAAGGGAAACAACTCATCATCGATATCCTTTAATGCCACGAGAATAATAGGCATGCATAGACGAGAATCTTCTGTTGGTCGATAATCAACACACGTACACAGAAGATCCGCGCATACAGGAGATGCACAATTAAGGCAAAATGAGTCAATTTTGATCAATTGCAGCTCTATTTTACTGTTACATATCGCTGCATACGCTCGCCCGAAGATAAATAGATACCTACGCTTACGTCTGTCACAATGGCTAAACCAGGGATTCTTAACAGGGGTGAAATTTACCCCCGGGGGAGAGGACGGAGGCCGAATTTTGTGTTTTCAGGGTGAATTGTGATCACAGTAAGTTTAGGGGGTGGAGGAGAGCAATTACGGAATTTGGCCTATCTGACCTGTCACCTTTAAAAGGAATGGGGGGAATAGCATTCTGACAAATGGGGAAAAGGGTGCAGAGGGCAAAGCAAGTATGAGAACCCCTGGATAGCGTTGTAGTATACCAGATAATCTCTATGCGGTGTTCTTTCCTTGAAAATGAGGACTTATAATCTTAACTTTTAATTCGGATTGAAACAGTTGAGAAAAATGACTAAATTAGAAACCAACAAATATATCTCTTTCTGGGTCTGTGTGAGAGCCTCTGTGTGTGTGTGTGTGTGTGTGTGTGTGTGTGTGTGTGTGTGTGTGTGTGTGTGTGTGTGTGTGTGTGTGTGTGTGTGTGTGTGTGTGTGTGTGTGTGTGTGTGTGTGTGTGTGTGTGTGTGTGTGTGTGCGTGTGTGTGTGTGTGTGTGTGCGTGCGCTCGCGTGTGTGTAAATTGATTATTTAATAAGTTCATGCTAGATTAGCACAAAGCAACAATAAATAGGTATCTACTAAGGAATTAGCCCACTAATTGGATGACCATTCCAAGGTACTCGGTAACAAAAAGATTTTACATGGCACAAATACGAAAAATACCCATCAAATGACAATTGATCTCAGCGTTGAAGCTAATTGGTGCACGTCGCAGCTCTGTTTGTGTTGGCGTATTTCCCTATTGACGTCTGAAGGCATTGCCTTCCTCACTTGCAAGATTAGACGAATATGATTTCTCATGAGTTTCACTCAGATCAAATTGCTTTAAAGTGCTACAACAAAACTCGGTGAAATTGGTTGAGATAAAAAAGCAATAACAATAACCTAATAACACAGATTTATTCAAACAAATTAAGGTATGTATATCGGGGGCAGAATTCTACATTCGTGTCACGTTCCTTGAAAATACAGTTACACCTTTAGGCAATACCTCATATATATATATATATATATATATATATATATATGTTCTGCTGAAAAGTTCATGTCCTGATATTTATCCCAAAACGCGAAAGTAGTCTTTTTCTAACTACATAGGATGGATGGGGAAGTAATGGCGAAATAATTATTGTTTAAGTTAGTTTATCATTATCAATCTTCTAATGGAGAGAAATAATGCGATAGAGAATTCTGAATTTCATGAGAGACAATTTTCGTTTCGTCTGATTTGAATGCTATACAATAATGGAATATATTTATCATAATATGCACACAAACATTGAATGATCTTTAAGAATCATTTTTATATAGATCCTTTCCAATTGTCCAATCAATTTCTTGATGTTAAGATGAAATTTATCAACGAAAGTGCCGTAGTTTTTGTAACCCAACTACTTACAACCCTATCTAAGATTCTCTTCAGAGATAAATTTCAAAGACAAATTTATTGTAACTTATTGATGGTGTAATAAAAATGATCTGCTGATCATTCAGATTATGTAAAATGGGTCGAATTGCTGAGTGCTCTTAAATAGAATCCGGTGAATATTCCGGATTTATTTTGCTGTTATGGTGAGAATAGAAATTTATCAGATCATTTTTATTAGTTGATCTATACTGGGCACTAAATTTTCAGTTACTGTCATTAAGGTTTAACATGATATCTAGGGAACGTAAATATAGTTTGTTTCCATTTCATAGGTAAATTCTATTGTATGTTCGACTTTGTTTAGTTTATCTACAAGGTCAAATATCGGATAAAAAGATTTGATCTTCGAAAACTGTATTTTTGTAAGAAATCGTGTGTCTGTTAAAATCAAATGAATTTCAGACCTTGAATGAGATTAAAGAAAACCTGACAAGTGGCGATCCCGTGAGATTTTTGAAACTGTTGCAATGTGTGACATAAATTGAATGGGTTGTGTCCAAAGGAAAACTACTTTGAGAGGGGCTTAACCGTTTACATTTATATAAATCGCTGAATGATTTCCAAATAGTACCAAAGGCACGCATATCTCTCCTTCTCTATTTCCTGTTTCTCTTATTATGTATCTGTCTGTCACCCCATAAATAATGAAAAGATGAAGAAAGATAGATATGAAAGACTAATGCAGATAGATAGAAAAAAAACCTGATAGCGATAACTGTGAAAAGACAGCTAAATGCTTAGAATATTGCTACCACATATGGTCCGGTGCCCATGCTATTTACCTTGAGCTCTTTGATAAAGTCCAAAGAAGAATCAGCAATATTATCGGTCCTGATCTGGTGGCTCGGCTTCAGTCACTTTCCCACCGCCACAAGGTTTCTTTTCTATAAATACTTTCATGGAAATTGTTCGGATGAGCTCTTCGATATGGTACCGAGACTTTTTGAATTTAAGCACAGTACTAGACTGGCGGTGAGGTCTCATCAATTTACAGTTGAGCTGGGTAGATGTCCTATGCTAACAGTTTCTTTTCTCGCACTTCTCGCTTGTGGAACTCTCCTCCGGCTCCATGCTTTCCAGCCAACTTTAATGTGCAAAACTTTAAATGCAATGTCAATGTTCTGTCCTCTTTTCTCTTCCCGCTCATTATTAATGTTTCTGTTCCTAATTCTTCCACACCCAGTAACCCCCTTGTGTCTTAGTGTCTTTACTGCCTTGTTTGGGGTGATACCGATTAAAAATAGATATAAATAGATTCTTGCAGATAAATAGATATGAAAAGATAGATAGATAGATAGATAGATAGATAGATAGATAGATAGATAGATAGATAACTTCATGTTTTGATAACCATTTTACTTTTTTTTCTTTTCTTTTCTTTATTTCATTTCATCATCTGTAATTGAATTAAGAAGCCAAGTTAAAAGAATCAATTTTCAAAATATGACGTCGGTCAAAATTTGCTAATTTTCCAGCCTTTGATTCATTCTTACTTCTCTTCCATCTACTTCCTCCCTTTCTCCCTCAGTTCTTCTGGAACTCGTACCTGCTCACTTTGTTTTGCTCTCTTTCTTCTTACTTTGATCTTTCCATCCTTCCCCCCCTCTTCTAACGCTTACTACGTATCGATATTATTCGCCCTCTTCTTCATTTTCCCTATATTTCAATTCTTTTTCGCTCTAGGGGGATTAGATGCAATGTGACATGTTTAAGATTGCAGAGATATCTTAGTGAATCAATAATTTCCCAAGGTTGTCGAAGTGTTTGCTTTCTTTTTCTATCCCACGTGCAATTACGATGTAATAGTAATAACAGCAACAACAGTGCGAGCGGCTACATTTTGACCACAAAGAAGGCCATTGTGTGTATGCACAGACCAGAATCTGTCCTAGAAATTGAAACACGTGAAATCTGTTGGAATCTTCAAACTGATAACTTAATCCAGGTTAGATGACGAGATTTGATGATAGTCAACAGGAGAAGGAAAATATGGCACATATCAATTGATTTCAGTGTTTCTGTAATCCACAGAAGAGAAATTGAAAAAATAGGTAAGTATCTAGACCTTGTGAGAGAAGTAAGGAAATTCTGTAACATGAATATGAAACTCGAACTATTTGTTATGAGAACCCTGGGAACAAATTCGAAGAGCATGACAAGACCGGGGAAACTGGGAATTAGGATAATGCTTGGAATTTGACGACGACAGTATTAAAAACAGACATAATACTGAGATGAGGGCTGAAGCAGTGCGGAGACTTGCTATCACTTGATCTCTCGTGAAAGCCACCAGATAATAATGGCGCGAAATCCCAATGCGTCTAAATAATAATGACTAAAGAATAATTATCGCATTGTAAATGATAATGAAAAAAAAAGAAAAAGGGTGACAATAATAAAACCGTGAGAAATAACGCTGCAAGGATTTTACAATAATAATCAGGAAACTAATAATAAAAATAATAATAATTATTATTATTATTATTATTGTTATTCGCAGTCGTAGTAACTTGTGCTATTTTAAATTGTTTAATTCTATTTTTGCTACATTTTTATATACATATATATTTTTTTTATTATTTAACCAGAAATCTTGATCATCTTTCTAGCTCTCCTGGGGCGTTGTCATTGTGGAAATGATAATTAAAATCAAAATAACCCAAAATAACTTTTGAAAAGCTTTAATGAATATATATAACGACAATATTTATAGATGTATGTATGTGTGTATGTGTATTGAGGAGGTGGGTGATTTTCTTTAGTTGTTTTCGAATTAAAATTTACACTGTATGCTGCGGTAAATGAATATATTGTTGGACTACAATCTGTGCAAAAAGAGGCAAAAGTATTTGGATTTTCTTTTTCTAAACAATTGTTGAAAATAATATTAACCTGTTTTTATGTTCACGATCTTCTCTTACTGACAACAATTCTTACTGACAATTGCATATATAACCAATTTATATGTTTTTCATTGTCTTCTCTATTCCTGTTGCCAATTGTGATACCAAGAATATAAAATAGGAACTATATAAATCTAATATCCTAAAATATTTGCCTCTTAAACAGTAGAATTTTTATAACTGATTCTATTTTAGAAAAGATTAAAGGAGAAACCTACATAGATTAGTTTATCTGATAAAAAACTAATATATCGAGAAATTCAATTGCAACAAAGAATTAGAAGGAATGAATGATCGCAGAAGTGGTCTATGAAATGGGGTAGTTTTTGTTCTTGGTCCATATGTATGTATATAGGCATCTCAAGTGGGATAATGGGTAGCGAGTAAGTTATGCTAACCATTAATACTGAGTAGTGAATTCAATCTACATTGGGTAAACTATACTTTCGTCCTTGGATCAAAACTAGTCTATTCACACGCGGTTAGGTAATTATATTATCAGATCACATACTCTCCAGTTTTCTCGTTGGGATCAGAGTGTAGTACCTGTTATAATTCTTCTATTGTGTTCTTTAGTACAGTGCATGATGTTGCGCCATGTTCTTGCCAGAGAAATTGTTTAAAATTTCTCAGAATATGCTGTTTGGTACGGACATTACGCGACTAGGATGACACATCGCCTTCTTTTTGAAAAAAGTTAGGAGTAGAACATAATGAAAAATGTTCTTCCTTTACGTAGCTCTGTTCAATGTTCTCTCCACAATAAAAGAACAAAAGTTGTAACTTATAGCGTACACCTACACTGATACAAATATTTGCGCCTATATCTCATGTCCTAATATACTTTGGAAGATCTTGCTTCACAGATCAACACCATAAATGTCTATCACTTGCATAAACCTGCTGTCATCATTGAACATTACCTTGGGTTATTCGATCACCTAGATGACCGTCCCGCAACAGTAAACAAATGGTGTAAATAAGTTCTGGCTAGACGCATGTGTGTGTCTGCTGTCCTACTATAAGTCGTATTTGCTTTGCCGTGAGGTCTGACATTGCGGCCTATACAATACGTTGACCTTATAAGAGAGCTGCCATTCAGAAAGTACTCTCCGACTATATGAATTTTCATTTTGTTTCACCACGTAGCACGTCTTCGGGCCACAAAATCCTTCGACTATTAAACGACTCTAACTAAACAAAAAACATGGATGCGTTCCCGTGACATAGCACCTACTTCTTTGCTTTCGTCATACTGAACGTTATCGCAATCTGTGTTACTGTCTAAAGCTCTGGTAGAAACAATATGATCGAATACTTTGACAATCTTATCAAAATGACTTACCAGCATATATCCATGTCAAAATATTGCTTTTATTATCACGATTATTATCATTTCAACATGTATTTAATTGTATTCTCTCATATTGTTATTGTAGCTAGTATCACTAATAACTAATCCTTAATTTATGGAAATAAAATATATCGCATATTAATAACATTGTTGTGATTACTGTTATTTACCTAATATCAACGCAATATAATATTTTATATATTGTATGATTATTAAACTATTGCCTTTTGTATCAATTCTATGAATCCAAGTCTTATTGACGATAAGAGGACGAGGAGGAGGTACGGCATTTGACAGGAATGACACTGAGTTGATAGAGGAAATGGATCGTCTTTGGAAAGCTTTCAGACTACATACATTCGTAGATCCAAGCAAACATTCCCTCTGAACGGACCATAAAAAAAGTTTACACATTGAAGAGATAATAAATAAGTGACATTCTAAAATGTTGAGGTAGGGGAAGAGAAGAGAGTGTAGAGAGTGGGAGTAAAAGAAGAGAGAGATAGCAGGAGAGGCGGAATGTGTTTGACAATAATCTGACATCCAATTCATTGGTGAATAAATGATTCTAATTGAATTTAGCATGAAAAATGTTGCAACGATTTTCAGGAGCGTCTCTTTGGGAGAAAGAAATCTTCTCCAAGTCAGAAAAGAACAGAAAGAAGAGATTGAATAATAAAAACAATTAAAATAGAAGGAAACGTGAAATATGAGAAAGAATGAAATAAAGGAAGGTTTGTTGAAGAAATAATTTGTTAGAAAAAAATAAACAAGTCACATTGAAAGAAAGAGAAATACAAATAAAAAGGAAGAAATAAATATGGGAATGAAAGAAAGACGAAAGAAAGAAAAAATAACAAAAGTTGTAAAAAAAAGCAGAGATAAAGGAACAACGTAAAATAGAATTAATGAAAGAAGAAGAAAAAGATGTTTGGTGAAGAAGGTATAAAGAGGAATTAAAATGAAATATAAAAGCAGATGGATGAACGTTAAAAGTTTGAAGGTTAGTAATGAAAACAACGTTGTGAAAGATGAAGCAAAATAATTCAAATAAAATAGAAACGAAGAAAGAAAAAATAAAGCAAACAAAAGCAAGTAAAGTAAAAAAAAGAAAAAAGAATGAATGATTATAATTGAAGAATAAACAATGTAAAAGAAAATACAGAAGAAAGACTGGACATTGTTAAGAAGGAAAAGGTGAAAAGCAAAAAAGAAATGAAGAATTCATCATCAAAAGAAAGAAAAGAAAGAAAAAATGAATGAAATTGGAACTAACGTTATCATATTGAATACAAAGAATTAAATTTCTTTATCTTTTATTTCCTAACCAACAACGACCAACCGGGCGGCCATTTAAAGGGTCCTCGATCGCATAATTTCTTTGACATCAAAACGCCTTTTTTAAATGAATATTTTCCTTTTTTTTATATTCATTTTGTGTTTTCCATCATTGGATTACAAATCCGACTTTCATTCGCATGAAGAAGTTAAATTGTGATTTGCATTTCAATGTCGTAATGAGCCTATTTGTCTCCATTTCTTTGGCACCACAACGAAACTGGCTCGATTAACGCGCACCCAAATACCAAATACTTTGAGGGTGTGTATTCAAATCATTACACCAGGTATTCTGTAACAGTATAGAACTATTTAAAAAATTCTCTTAGCCCAATGAAAAATAAACTTTTTCATTAATTTTAATTTCCATAGATTCTACTTAAGAAACAAACACACACACACACACACAGACATATGTATATATGTATGTATGTGTGTGGTATATCTACAGTAGACAGTTTACACAAACTCACACGGATAGTGAAATCTGTGGATAAAAGAGAATCGGTTAAACATTAATTATAACGTGGAACTGTCATGGTTTACTCAACAATATTTTACGATGCAGCAGAAGCCAATTAAATGATAAAAAAAGGATGCAAATTCCATGTGCGAAGAACTGTACGTTATTTCCACGCTTAAATATCTAGAAAAACTATTTACACTATTCGAACGGTTGTCCTTATCTTTATTGCCATATTACCGATGTTTCCACCGTATTCGGCCTTCTTCGATATTTGCTGGATTTTCGAACCGAACCCTTTATTTAGTCTACGTGGGTAGTGTCATGCCTTTTGGATATCTTAATTTAAGTTAATTCTCCTTGATAAACTCAATATATATATATATCATATATATGACATCATTATATATATATATATATATATATATATATATATATATATACATATATATATATATATATATATATATATATGTGTGTGTGTGTGTGTGTGTGTGTGTGTGTGTGTGTGTGTGTGTGTGTGTGTGTGTATGTATGTATGTTTGTCTGGCACCTGAAGAAGCCCGCAGCGTACAACAGTCGAAACGTCATGAGTATGGGAATAAAGATGAGGACAAAAGTTCGAACAATGTAAGTAGTATAAATAATTACAATATCTCATCTCAAAAATATAGAAAAACTTGAAAATTACTCAGTAGGTAATGAAGCAAACGTTTTTATTGAGATTTTTCCTCTCAGGATTTAACACTCGGGCTTGACAAAGTGATTGTTTTTTTTATATGTTCAGAATGATATTAATAATGATTTTTTTAAAATATTTTCCTTTAAAAATATGTTGTGAAATAATTTCAATTTGATAAAAATTTTCAAATTATATATGCAAATATATATTTCAAATTATGTATGACAATTTAATACCGAAAACGGCCCTGTGAAAGCGAAGTTAGCTCACTCATTCAACATAAGTTATTGTCACCTTCAAAACATTCCTCTTTTTTAACATTTGTACAGAAACGATAGTGCCATTGTTGGAAATATTTTTAGAATACATTTTCATGAATGATGAAGTCACGTGTTGATGGGTGTCAGGAATTTCAGCAATTTTGTGTCCTTTTAGGGTATTTTATTTCTATTGAAAATAGCCTCAAATCCCTCGTGGTTAAATCTGGAAAATAAAGTGAGTAATCCATTTTTGTAATGAATGTCTTGGTCAGGAACACCCGAAATCCTAGGACCTTAATCTTTACCACTGAATGTACCCGGATGACACTATGCTGATTACAGACTCAGGAGGAAAACAGCAAAAATTTATTCTCCTCCATGGAAGTGAATGCTGGACAATTTCTGTATAGATAGACGAAACCAAAAGCGACAAGGATGTCGTTCTACAGAAGGATGCTGAGAATACCATGGACAGAATACGTGATGGACGTGGAGGAGTTAAAGAAAATGCTAACTAGGACCTTTAAAATAACACAAAAATTGTTGAAATTTGTAGGAGAAGTGTGATTGGAAAATGTAACATGCGTTGAACTTATTTAACGGAAGTATAGGACAAAGGAATGAAGGAAGAAAGGAGGAACAAAAGAAGGAAGGACAGACAAAGGATGGAAGAGGGTCAAAGGAGGAAGGAGGAACAAAAGAAGGGACGGACGAACAGTAAAAGAAAGGAAAGACGAAAAAAGTAGGGAAGAATGGAAGAACGGAAGAACAAAGGAAGGGGGAAGGACGGACAAATAAATAAAGGAAGGAGGGAAGGACAGATGGACGGACGAACATAGGTAGGAAGGAATGACGGACGAACAAAAGAAGGAAGAAAGAACAAAGGAAGGACGGACGAACAAAGTAAGGCAAGAAGGCAGGAAGGACGGATGGACAGAGGAAGGAAAGGCGAACAAAAGGCGGACGAACGGAAGAACAATGGAAGGGTGGAAGGACGAACAAAGGAAGGAAGGAAGGAAGGTCGAAGAAAGGGAGGGAGGAAGACCGAACAAAGATATGGAGGAAGGACGAACAAAGGAAACACAGACGAAGAATGGAGGAGGGACGAACAAAGGAAGGAAGGAAGGTCGGAGGACAAAGGAAAAGGAAGAAGGACGAACAAAGAAAGGCAGGAAGGACAGTGAAAGAGAGGAAGAGCGAACAAAGGATTGAAGAAAGGAAGGGCGGACGAACAATGGAAGGAAAGAAGGACGGACGAACAAAGGAAGAAAGGAGGGAATAACGGACGAATATATGTAGGAAGGAATAACGGACGAACAAAAGAACGACGGGCGGACGGATGGACGGAGAGACAAAAGAAAGAAATAAGGACGGACGAACAAACGAAGGAAGGGAGGAAGCACGGATGAATAAACGAAGGAAGGTAGGAGGGATGGACTGATGAACATAAGTAGGAAGGAATAACGGATGAACAAAAGAAGCAAGAAGGAACAAAGGAAGGATGGACGAACAAAGTAAGGCAGGTAGGAAAGAGGGCAGGAAGGACGGATGAACAGAGGAATGGAGAAAAAGCGAACAAAGGACGGACGAACATTGGAAGGGTGGAAGGACGAAGGAAGAAAGGCCGGATGGACGGACAAAGGAAGGAAGGAAGGAAGGACGGGGGAACAAATGACGGAAGGAAGGAAAGAAGAAGGACGGACGGAAGAAAAAATGGACGAAAAAAATGGAAGGAAAATAAAAAGGAAAGAGAAAAAAGAAAAGGAAGGACGGCCGAACAAAGGAAGGATGGACGAAAAGAAAAAAGAAAGAAAGAAAGAAAGAAAAAGAAAGAAAGAAAAAATGAAGAAAGGAAGGACGGACGAACAAGGAATGGGCGGACGAACAATGGGAGGAAGGACGAACAAATGATGGAAGAAAGGAAGGATGGACGAAGAAAATGAAGAAGACCGGGCGACCGAAGGAAGGAAGGAAGGAAGGACGGACGAACAAAGTAGAACAGATGAACAATGGAAGGAGGGAAGGACGGACGAAAAAATAAGGAAGAACAAAAGGAAGAAGAAAGTACGGGCGAACAAAAGAAAGGAAGTAAGGAATGACGAACAAAGGGAGGACAGACGAACAATGGAAGGGTGGAAAAAAGAACAAATGAAGGGAGGAAGGACGAAGGAAAAATGGAGGACGAAAGGAAGGACAGACGGACGAATAATGGAAGAAATGAAGGACGGACGAAAAGAAGAACGAAGGGAAGGACGGACAAACAAAGGAAGGAAGGAAGGAAGGAAGGAAGGAAGGAAGGAAGGAAGGAAGGAAAAACGGACGAACAAAGGAAGGAAGGAAGGAAGGAAGGAAGGAAGGAAGGAAGGAAGGAAGGAGAAAGACACATAATAGGTAAGGTATTGCGGGATAGAGATAAAGTCAAGTCTACGAGAAAGTAGGAGAATATGGGAACAGTTGAAAAGTTGAAATCTTGAACTATATTTCTTCCAAAATGAAGGGACAACTTCTAACGTAATTTGCTCCTCATCTGAGAAGGATCATTCGTAATTTGGAAAAGTTGATCAGTAAAATTGTTTTTCAATATATATATATATATATATGCGAAGACATATAGTAATACTCCGGTTGGTATCCAAACGCATTGTAATCCTACTGAGACTGACAGGACCCTCGTTAAGATATCCCTATAGGTGAAGGAAAACTGCGACTACGTTTTCATCCAATTGTATAGACCAGACTTTTTATTGGATAAATGTATTCAAAGTTCAGAGAGTAAGACTGAGTCTGTGTAAAGCATTTCCTTACTTAAAACAGCTTCAACACACAGATATTGCTGTATTTCTTTAAAGACCCACAAAAACCAATGGGTATACAGAGAGAGAAGTAATTCATTGTACATTATGCGGTATTGATGTTACTACTGCAAAAAATCCTGATGCACATCTGTCCAAGAAAATAGCAGAACTAAAAAGCCACATCCGTGCTGGCAGTATTTGAGGATAAATCAAGCGACTTTATTTATATATATATATATATATGTGTGTGTGTGTGTGTGTGTGTGTGTGTGTGTGTGTGTGTGTGTGTGTGTGTGTGTGTACAGAGAGAGAGGGAGAGATGTATCGGACCACTGTTGGAAAAGGGACAGCCTATTTGTTTTAAGATTTTATCTCCAACAACATCGGAAATCCCTTTCAGTAGAGTAACCGTGACTCTTTAAAATTATAGGAGCAAGATACGGACATATCTACGACAACTACGGTCGCTTTTACTGCCACATCTCTGTGGCTCTAATTAACTGATCTCGGAATATTACACGTCGACACCGGCAAGTGGTTGTGAGAAGTGTATAATCAAATGATTATTTCATTTTTAATGAATTGTCTTCATCAACTTCGGTGTTAATTCTCAGTTAATTTAGCTCTCAGAAATCTCGTGAGTACTAAGTAATCACCCTTGGCAGTTGTGCGTTGCCGGGCACAGCTACATCGGTCAGTTTATGGGAATTACTAAAACCTCCAGTTAACCAGTGCCAATATGTGTGTGTATTTCACGTGATTTGTTGATTGGGCCAAAAGTACACGGAATCAGCTAAGAGCAACACTCCCCCACCACCACCCGCTACCACTTACGGTGAACTACTGGCACTTTCAATTACATGTTGATCAATATTTGTGTGCTGACATAGCCTATCTATTACTCACACTCTACATTCGTTTCTCCATTACTGGGCTTGGTGGTTCAGGTCAGTGTCCTATTTGGGTATCTTGTCATAGGTCAAAGACATGTAGGAATAAACATAAGAATGGGGAGAAAAGGTCTTATCTGAGTAAACGTCTTTGCAAACGATAACTTTTTTCCGGAATATTGAGCTGTTTTAATTTCCCAGAAGGAAAGTAATTGTCCTGAATTTTGATGGGATCTTTTTCGATTATTTTAGGGATTTTGACGTTTAAAATCAAGTTCTTTGAATACTTAATGAGGATCGTCCGTAAAGCTTATTAAGTGGACCTCTGAAAATTGTCAATTATCTTATGGTTCTGCTCCTCACTCATCATTTGTTAGTGTCTTGTCATTATCTCTCTTATCCTCTCCAGAATTATTTTCGTGGCTATATTTTATATAAATCTTAGACAATCATGGAATAATTCTATATACGAAAATTCGGTAAGGAATACAAAAATATTCTTTTACTGCATCCTCTTTATCTTTTCTGTTCCATCTCTACTTAAAGCACTTTTACGTCTCGGTTTTATAATGGGTGAAGACTGAAAAGTTGGTATGAATGGAAATTGATGCCAGTCTTTCAATACTTCACAAATATTATTATATCTACTCAGCCAGACTAGGCATTTCTATCGTTACATCATATCTCTCTCTCTCTCTCTCTCTATATATATATATATATATATATATATATATATATATATATATATATATATATATATATATATATATATATATGTCCCTGACGAGTCGACAGAGGGATTGCTGGAGGATACGCCTACGAAAGTCGAGATGCTGAAGGTAACAGCAATCAGGTGACTAATTTTATATTTGTATTAATCATAATTATTATATATATATATATATATATATATATATATATATATATATATATATATATATATATTACAACATTGAATAATTTAGACAGCTTGTCAACTTATTTTCAATAGGATCCTTAAATATTCACGGACAAGCTTCTTAGTATCCTTATTAAAGGAATAGACAAAATTACCATGTTGATATATATTCATTTATTCGGAGTACTTTCGACATTGGCACAATATCATCATCAGGTTGTTGTTTTTTGTTTGTTTTGTTTTTTTGCTTGTTTTTTTTTTGCTTGTTTTTTTTTATTGTTTTTTGTTTTTTGGGTTTATTTTTTCTAATTCAAAATTGCTGTGTTCATCTGAAAGTTAAATTTTTAACCGGGAAGTGAGAAACGCTAAAGTTATGTACTGTATGATTTCATACATCTTTTCCTTTAACCTTATTGTTTTTATTTTTGTCTAGCTTCCCTTCTTCTGTCTCTCAATCGATTTTCTGAATTCCTTCCCGCTCAATATTGTTTCCTCAGTCAGATAGCGTAAGTGATTCTATTCCAGAATGACTGCAAGCTAATCCAAAGTAATAAAAACAAAAAAACTATAGTACATAAAAGCAAGGAAGATTTTTTGTGTACACTAGTAAATAAAATGAAGGTAACACCGAAACGCAATTATTATACGCAATAAAGATTTAATTAAAAAACAAGAAATGTAACTGATATTTTTTATATTTCGATAATTTTTCATATTATTGAGATATTTTGTTCAAACGAAAATTATAGCGGCAGATTTAAATCAAGCTATTAGCCTGTGATTCGTCAGAGCAAACCTGCACAATTAAAAGTTGAAAGGCAGAGAAATAATTTCTATTGCAAACTAGTAAATATATCCGGCTTTGCTGAGGTCTCTAGATATCTATAGCTTTATGACAGGTACACAGACGACCAAATCTAGATTAAACATACTCCAGGCCGGAAAGATGATATGTGGACGTGCATACAAGCATCTTTTAAATTGAACTCTCCAATCTATATTGTGAAAGAGGAACAGATTCTCAACTCATCACGCTTTGTCTATTTTATTTATTTTCAATATTAAATAAAGACCTGTTAGAGAATGTAAAAATGTAAAGTTTAATGCCATTTTCATTAGGGATCATTTTTAAAACTATTTTCTTTTCATTTTTACAATTGTTAAATTATTATTTATTTATGAAATTTAAAAAGAAGATATTAATTCTGTGACTGCAATCAGTAAATAGTATCAATTCAATGTAGCACTTCCTTTAGTTTAATAAATTTCAAAATCTGAAATTAAAATATTCAATATTTTATGACATCAAACAAATAAGAAAATAATAAAAAAATAAAAACAATGAATTAAACTCAAAGTTAACGTTTAACTAGTTTTTCATTAATATCTTTATTTATACTTCTAATGTTGTGTAAAATAAAATTATTTATTCTAAGTTTCATAAACGCGCATGGAAATAAATTATATTCTTACATAGTTAAAAAGGTAAAAGATAATTTATATGTAAACATAAACAATCCCAATTGTTTGATTGTTGCACTGTTGGTTTTTCGTATTTATTTAAAAGTTTAAAGTTTTGGGATGCTTTTGAAAGTAGGAGGTGACTGTAGAAGACTACTGTCGTTGGACAAGACCTTGGTAAAAGCTCACGGGCATCCGTCCTTATATAAACGTTATTTTCGCTATTTTAAGCAAAAAGTCAGCATTAGTTTTCCAAAATCCAGTTGCTTTAAAACACATCTCTAGGAAAATATTGGATTTTTAAAGGATTTTTAACTTTGTTGTTTTCATTTTTTCTCAATAATGGAAGCTTGATGAATGATGAGTAACTGTGCAAATGTTTTCAAAATCTCTAAAAACTTGATTTACAAGCGTAAATTCATCTTTATTTTTTTACAGATTATTTTTAGGGATTTTATATTTCAAATAAAATAAAATTTTAACTTCAAAGAAGATATTTAAATAGTTTGAATTATGCTTTCAAGTTTTATTTAACAAGCTCGTGGTAGACGACATGAGTTCACTCCGAATAATAAGCCCGTATTTTTTCGGGATTAAGGGTGATGAAGGTAAACGTTTTCTGGACTGACATTATTCGCCTGATAGTCAAGGATCCGAATAAGAGTAACTCTTATGCCATCAATTGACAAGTTTGAGAGCCCAGAACGAGAGCTGTAAAAGATGGGTCGAACAACCAAATAGTTACCAACATCTGATTTCAATAGCAGCCAAGACACTTATGGAAATAGAGAAGCCCGAGAGGAGACACAAAAACCAGATTTTTAGATAACTATCAATAAATGGTTCCAAATGAAAGTTTTACTTTTTAAAATATATCTAAGTGCCAACTGCACAAGCGACCACCTTCCATTCGTATGCTGCATAAGAGTAACATTTGGGAAGCTAAAGATGGCCAAAGCAATGCCTAAATTGAACTACGACAGACTCCTAAATGACCCATTGTGAAAATAGATGTATATAGACACAGTGAAAACTTAAGCGGGTCTATAAATTCAAGTGGTACAAGGTGTGAACAGTAGTGACATCGGCAAATGAAATCATCACAGGAAAAACGAATGGTGAGAGATGAAATTCTTGAGATAATGAAAAAGGGACAACAAACAATACCAAGTAATGAAAAAAAATACAAACATTGAAGTTATAAACAAATGTAAGCAGGCTAAAGTGGAATGGCTCAATGAAAAGTATATGCAAATAGAAAGGATGAGCATCATAGATAAAGCAAGTAATCACAAAAGAATAAAAGAATTAACAGGACAAACGTTGTGCTAAACAGCAGGTTATATAAAATCAAAAGAGGGAACGCTGATAATAGAAAAT